GAAATCTTCTACCCCACCCCCTCCTCTCGGAAGCATTCCAAGGCTCCCAATCTTTCTTCTAATCGCTTCGCCGTTCTCTCTGACTCGTCTCCTCCTAGAGATCCTGAGTCCTCCTCCTCCCTTCCCTCCTCCTCGGCTCCCGCTGTGATCGATGATGACCCCCTTGATCAGGATGACCTCCTGGATGAGGATGATTTGATTGAGGTTGAGTCGGATGTTGGCGACTCCGCCCGATTCGTTGCCTGTGATCTTCCTATCCCCCAGGTTGATTCGTTGTCCCCTCTGGAGCCCGAGCAGATGGACTCCACCCCCTCCCCCGTTTCCCAATGTTGAGTGTTGCCTCTTGGAATACCCGTGGTCTCTGCAACCTCTCCCATCAGAGWGCTGTGAGAGATCTYGTTCGGGAATCCAATCTTCATGTMTGTGCTGCTCTTGAGTCGCGTGCTTCTGTGTCTTCTCTTCCTTCTATCTGTGAGCGTGTTTTTGGGTCTTGGACCTGGGCTTCTAATGGCTCCCTGTGCCTTAGAGGAACCCGTATCATTGTTGCATGGAACCCCGTCCATGTCGACATGATGCTTTTAAATGCCATTAGAAGCAATGAGTTTTCCCCCTTTTTAGTTTTTCAATCGAGCGGCAATGAGTTTTTCACTCTAGAGAATTTGGGGGTTGGGGGTTGGGGGTTTTTCAAGGGGGAAAGCGAAGGTCTCCTGGAAGACTGTCTGCCTCCCCAAGTCTCAAGGCGGGCTGGGTATCAAGAGCCTTGCCACCTGGAATCTTGCCCTTATGGCCTCCCACACTTGGCGAATCCTTACTACTAGGGATTCGCTCTGGGTTAAATGGATACATTCCTACAGGCTGAAAGATCGTAACTTCTGTAATGCCCCGATACGCAGTGATGTGGGTTGGGGCTGGAGGAAGATCCTTGGTATGAGGGAAAAGATAAGAGACTTCATTGTCTCCCAGATTGGTGATGGCGCGGCCACGTCTGCCTGGTATGATAACTGGCATCCGGCTGGCCCCCTCTACCGGCATATCTCCTCCCGTACTATTATCAATTCTGATCTCTCTCTCTGCTTCTGTCAGAGATATTGTTTCCCAGGGCAATTGGACGTCTCCTCTCCTGAGGGACATTTCAAACCCTTCTATCCGTGTCTCTCCCCTCCCCGTTCTYTCTC